ATGATGATTCGGGGCCTCCACACGATGTTGGCTAAAGCCAATGTCGACCTATCTCCTCCCGATGTGTTGAAGAAAATACCGGCCCATGCACGATTCTTCAAGGAAGTGGCCACGAGCAAGAAGCGGTTCGACAATGATGAGGAGGTGATCATCTGTGAGGCGGCGAGTGTTTTTCAGCATCACTTACCGAAGAAAGAAATAGATCCCGGACGCTTCGTGATCAATATTGCTTTCGTAAATGAGAAAGAGGCTTTAGGGATGCTCGATCTAGGAGCCGAAATAAACCTCATGCCACTATCCGTTCGGCAGCTCGAGCTTAGGGGTTTGAAGCCTACTAGGTTGCGCTTATAGCTTGCCGATCGCTCACTCCGGCAGCCTGAGGGCATTGTGGAGGATGTGCTCGTTCGAGTGGGGAAGTTGATCGTCCCCGTAGACTTTGTTGTCCTCAATGTGGGGGACGTTTGGGCGAATCGGAAAGAGCACACTATCCTCCTTGGGCGACCGTTCATGGCAACCACGGACACGATGATCAATGTCAAGAAGGGGGAGCAAACCATGACGGTGTTGGGTGAGTCCATTTTCATTTCCGTCCGAGAGACTCGATCAGAGCCACAGGCAAATTCTGTAGAAGAATGCATGACCCTTAGGGCGATTGAGCAGCTTACTGAGAAAGCGTGTATGCGTGAGTACACGAAGAGGTCATTGCAGGACCGTGCCTATGTCAAAAAGGGAAGTCACCCCAACTGCCACACTCCACCTCCCACACCGAGTTCCAGAGAGTTGCCCCGATCCCAATGGGGTGAGAGATTTGATTTGTCAGACGCCCGCCGTTGTTCGGGGCCCGATTACCTCCACCCTCCACCAGCACCACCAGACGCACAGTGACTCTTTACTGTGCTTTGTACGTTTTTCTTTCCTTTTCACTTTTATTTTGTACAGTTTGTTTTACTTTAAGTCGGTTAATTATGTGGTACAACTCTCTTTCACTGAGGATCGACAATGGGGACATTGTCTGATTTTAAGTGTTGGGGAGTTTTTACGTGCTTACGTGACTATGTGGTTGACCAAGTCTAGTCTTTTTAGGTTATTTTCATTTTCTGCTTTTGTTGGTGTCCTATCTTGAGTCAGTTGTGTGTTTTTTCTGAGTATGGATTGTGGTGGATATTGAGATTGGTTGATAATTGTTGATGAAGTTGAGGAGATATGATGATGATCATGACTAGCTTATCTTGGTGAACTTGACTGTCGTTTTGTTGGACATTTATTTACCTTATGTGAGGTTTGAGCCTTAACTTATTTCTTGAGAGATATTGGACGGATTCTTGGTTGATCAGAATTTGCTTTGAGTCTGTTTTGAAATGAAGTGATTGAAGTTGTGATTCATAAAAATGATTGAGGCATTTCTTTGACATTGCTCGTTCTAGCCTTTTTCATTGACCCTTGAACTTATATTTTCATTAGTAGCCCGTTGAACCTTATACGTTGTTTATTGTTAGCCTATTTGATTGAATATTTGAAATGTGGCAATGTACCTTGTGATGATGACGAGGCTTTCTAATGTATGTCCGGAGGAGGTTTAGAACTTGTGAATTGTATCATAGTGCTTGACTAAAAAAAATATGGGAACTCGCAAGACGAACGAATCTTTACGTCTCGATCTTGTTAGGAAAAAGACGAACTCCCTAAATAAATAAATAAAAAAAAAAAAATTGAGTACTTGAATATTGAGCATTTGCGAGTGTTGTATGGAGTTTGGATGGGAATGATTAGGTTCATGCTAATTTCGGATAGGTGGTGAGGTATTCGAGTTATTTATGTGCTCGAGAATGTGATTGTTTATTTAAGCCACTTTATCTTTATATGCATCCTTTCTTTGACCAATACCTACATTACAACCCGGAAGTCCTCTTAATTTACGATTCATGAACTTTGATTGTTTTAAAGTATGAATAGACAATTGGCAAGCTTATGTTGAAACTTGATGATCGACCAATTTAAGCGTCCCTATTTGATATTCATACAGGATACTGAGTGAGGCATATATGGATTATATTACCGTGCTTGAGAGTTTGTCCTTTCAAAGCGTATTGTTCGAGTTGTAATTGAGATATGTTATATTGGTCATTGGAAGTCTCCTCGGCTAAGGTGATTAATTTGAAACTTATCTTGTCCGAAATTATTATCCATGCTCATTTGATTGTTTCCTTTTCTTTTCTTTTCGTGTCTTTTTGTTTGGGACGAACAAAGGTTTAAGTGTGGGGGAGTTGTTTGTCCCATTTTTGTTGCGTTTTTCGTTGTTGTTTTGTCATTCTTTTTCCCCGTTTTAGGTCTTTTTGTTAGTTTTTAGTTCGTTTTGTAGATTATTGTGTGTTTCGCTCTACTTTGGTCTTCTATGTGTTTTTCGTGTGTTTTTCTGGTTTTTCTTCTTGTTTTTGGTGTGCAGGTCCAAAGCCCCGTTAAGAATGGATTTAGCTCGAAATTTGATCGGGCAATCATAGTTGTGTAGATGGGTTCGTTGGCGACATATACAAAGAAGCGGAGCTCAATTTCGAGCTTGGACGAGTTCGAAAGAGCCCAAAAGGCGAAATCGCGCGAAGTCGCACGAAGCACGTCTTTGGTGTGCTGGTCATAAGCTTTGAGAGAATTGTATTTCAAGAATAATTTGGTCATTCAAGCATCATTGAATAGAGGGTTCGTTAGCGATGCGTAGGAAAAAACGGAACTCAATTCTGAGTTCGGACGAGCCCAAACGAGCCCGAAACACAAAGTCGTGCAGCCCAGTTTCCTTCTTAACGGCGGTAACCAATCATAATGGGGCCAGAGAAGTTGAACTACAAAGGTTAGCGGCCGCTAACCCTGCCTGACTGACAAATGTTCTTCTTTTCCTCAATTTTTGGCCTGTTTTGATGGTGCTCGAAAATGGGAACCTTGGACCAAGTTTTTCACCTTGATTTCGGTTTGTGGTGTTAGAAAAGGCATTCCCACTTACTCTCTTCCATCTCTCCTTATATCTATCATATTCCATCTTCACCATCATCTTTCATCATCCTTCTACACCATTTTCTTCACCATCTTTCTTCCATTTTTCTTTCCTAATTTTTTCTTAAGTTTGTATTTTGCTTTTCTTGGAGAACTTATTGAAGACATTGTTGTACCTTGGATTAAGTTTGCATTTGCTTTTGACTTGTGGACTTCTCATTATTAGTAAGTTATCATTTTCATCTTGTTTATGTTAAGAATGGCTTATTGTTATGTGAAAGTTTATGTTGAGGTTATTTTTTATATGAGTAATTAAATCACTTGCTAGGGATGAACCTTTGAATTAGTATGTGATTATCGTGCTCGTTAATTGTTCACTTTGTGTGAGTTAATTCTTAATTCGGTTTTTGATTTTCACGTTGGAAGAAATATTGTTGAAAAGTGACATTTCAACCTTGCTAATTGATTTCTAAGTATTGAAGAGTGACACTTTAATGTTAAACTTGTTTTTATATTTAAATATTATGTATTCCATTGTGACGATCAAAATCCGAATAAACTAGACGACTAATAAGTTTTTCTAGTTTATTCTAATCGACTCTTGAACCGAAAGGTGAAAAGTCGATCGATCGAGACTCATACAAAATAGACTTGTTCCGAAAGGTATTGTCTATGTGTTAAACAATTCATTAATTTACCGTTTATATTTATTCTCTTGTTCCAAAAGGTATTGAGGATGAATCTCTAAACGTGTAAGTGACTCGATTCCTTTAACCGAATGATCACAAGCCGATAATTGCATTACTATTCAAACACGTTCATTCCCGATTCCCTAGCATCTTTCTCATCATTGAATTTGTAATTTAAATTGGTAAATAAATTTGTTTAAAAGAAACTTAGTTAGTAATCAAAACTCCACAACATGAATTAGAGTGTTTAGAACTTATTTTCTCTTTTCGATTGAATACACGTACAAAATAGTCCGACTAACCTTCCTCGAGAGACATGACCCGGTGTTCGAATCTTTTGATTCTACTCCGGTAAAAATAAACTACAACAGTGGCAACCTCTATTGTCGTTCGTCCAATGTATATCCTCCCTCACTGGCTATAAGGTGCTGGAAACTGCTGGTGTTTCTTGGGACTGTCTGAACCAAGATGGGTGTGGGTTTGGGGAGTGGTGGGTAAACAATTGTAATGCTCCTAGATCCAACTATATGTTGCCATAATAAGTCTTTACATTTATTTGTTGTGGTGGCTTTGAAAAACTAGGAACAACTAGATTTTTTAGAAAAGTTGGGTAGGGGAGGATAGAATAGTTCAGTGGGCGTGGATGATTAGCTATTGGTTTGTGTTGTGAGGGAGGGAGAGGTTAAGAATCTAGAAGGAAGGGTTTTAGAGGTGAGTGAGGGGTCAATAGTGGAGATTGGAGATATTATGAGGGAGGTAGACAGGAATCTTAAGGGTGAGGTAGAGGATCATGTTTTCTTAATTGTTAGTTGTTACATCATTAAATGGGAGATGGGGGTTGGAAGTAAGAGCTTTCATTGAGGTGGGAGATTTGCAGCAATGAGATGCATCTAGGGACTTTGTAGGAAGTTCAGTGGTGGCCTATGTTGCTGGTGCTTTATGGGTGCTGAATTATGCTTTGAAGCATAACTGGAAGAATGTCACTTGCCTTATGGATAAGAGACTGTAAGCTGGTGCATCGAGAACTCGGGGGATGTGGAGCTTGTGGATGCGTTTGTTGGAAATTTTCTTTTTTGTATGTTTGTCTTTTTGTTCCTGTGTGTTCAAGTTTGATTCGGGTGCGTGTATAGCTTCTGCTTCTTTAGCCTGAATGCTTTTCAAGTGAATTTGTAGTTCTTATTTCCTGTTGCTTCTTGGACTTGTGTGTGTGTGTTAGTCTGAGCAGTTGTTGTGCCTAGTTAAGCCTCGTATGTAAGACTTTTATATTTGAGTTATATAATTTTTCTTGTTTGCTGTTGAAAAAAAAAATCCGCATCATTCATGAGTAGAAAACGCGAACTCAATTTAAAATTGCTACTCTCTTGATCATTTTATAATCAAACATTACAAGTAGTAAAAAGATAAAATCCTATTGAAACAATTAAAAAAAAAAAGATAAAAAATAATCAAGGATCAAAACCTAGAACCGAGGGCCCAATCGTCAATAATGGCCCAAGCGCAGTGGGCGCAAACTTCCTAGCAAAAAGGTAACACACGTTGGTGGCGTTGCCGTTGTACACACACGACTCAGACCCGAACCGTATTCGCTCCAGCAGCTCAACATTCACATCGAGCCGCCCGAACGTCCTCGGGTGCCCCCCGCCCAGCGACCAGTCACACCACGTCACCGCCCGCTTCGTGTTCAGCTCCGGGCACAAAACGTTCACCAGCGTCTGCAGATAATGCTCGTCGCTGAAACACGGCAGCGCCGGGCAGAAATCGTGGAACGCTCTGTAAAATTCCTTGTCGGAGACGATTATCCCGGCGATGTCGCGGCGGATCGCGAACCACTGCGACCCCTTCCGCCACTGATTGACGTTGACGGTGGGCAGCATCCGGCGGTCGTACCGCCACTTGCTCCTCTTCCACGGGTTCTCAATCGTGCCCAGGAAGCTCCCGTTTGCGCCAATTAGGTAGTCGTAGACGGTGGTGAAATTGAAGACCGGGATGCAGGATTCGGATACGAGGACGAACCTTTGATTTGAGGAATCGAGGAGCGCATTCGCCAGGAGCCGCCGCTCGGCGTCAACCATGGAGATCGAGCCACGATCCACTGGCTAAGCACATGAATAAAATTTATGTGAGGTATTTCGAAATTAATTAATTAATTAATTGATTGAGCTGTGATGTGATGTGATTTACCTTGCTAGGGATTCTTTTCCCGTAGAAAGCAGAGCTTTTAGGGACAGGTGAAGAGGAGTCATTGTATGAAGGGTGAGAGTGAACGTAGACTGAGAACAACTCGTCGTGTCCTTTGAAGAAGCTGTCCCAAAATGGAGCCAATGGCAATGGCCCTCGCGCCAAAAACAGAAAAGCCACTTTTTGCTTCGACTCTTTGCCCGTGGATTCTTGCACCCTCGATGCCCTCATAAACAATTCCTCGTCTTCACTCATGCTTTGTGTGGAATTGTTTTCAATTGAAAAATCAATTGTGCTAGTAATATTAGTGTAATTAGAAACATCGGTACTAATGTTAGTGTAATTAAAGGTTTCGTTTGTCGATGATAAAGGTATGGCGGATGGATTGTCGGATATGGAGAGGGAAATGGGAGATATTAGGAGGAGTGAAGGAATGGAGAAGGAGAAGCTTTTGAGGCATAGAGTGGAGAAAATGCCGATTGATACGCCAACGATGAGAAAAAACAAGTGAAACAAACGAGCTTTTTTCATCTTTTCGGAGGATGAGAAAATGGTGTGTTTGGGTAGATTGGTGCATTTTGCCAAAGGGTGTTATATTTTGGTAGAGAGAGAGCATGAAGACGGAAAGAGGAGGAGCAAAGGAGTGGAACTTAAGATATGGGAGTTCCACATGTGATGTGCTTGC